TCAATTAATTCTCTATTCTAACAAACTTAAAAGTATTTTTTTATATTTGCAATTTGTTCCCTAAGTTACGTATGAATGAACAACATGATTTTACTATTTTCACAAAGCGACCCACCCTTTTTTAGGTCACATAACTTGGTAGGTACATCATTCGATCAAAGTTAATTTAAGAAAGCTGCCCGTATCAGGCATAAAGGGCTCCGTTATTTCAAAACTTGTACGGGATCTTAAAAACAAATTGCCAGTCAATCGAAGCGTATCCCCGCTCGAGCTGTTATTAATTTTCATTTGACACACTCAGCTGCTATAAAGGAGTGTAACCGGCCTTACAATTACTTTGGGAACTAAGGTACATCATTCGATCAAAGTTAATTTAAGAAAGCTGCCCGTATCAGGTATAAAGGGCTCCGTTATTTCAAAACTTGTACGGGATCTTAAAAACGAATTGCCAGTCAATCGAAGCGTATCCCCGCTCGAGCTGTTATTAATTTTCATTTGACACACTCGGCTGCGATAAAGGAGTGTAACCGGCCTTACAATTACTTTGGGAACTAATCTACACGAGTTCTCTTACTCGTGACGTTGTCAAACGACAAATAGTTGAAAACTCAACACTATTTACTCGCTATCTGTAAGGTAACACGCCTACTCGCATAAGCTCTTGTCTCGAAAGTTTTATGGCATTGATAGTGTGATATAAGTACGAAGGCAACAAAACTTAGTTATCAAATAATAAATTTTCAGTATTAAGATTCAGTGCTTCATGGAATTTAAGATTTAATAGTAAACGGCACATGCCAAAAGCCTCTATATACTTTATATTAATCTTATATAAAATTATCACAAATATTCCACGCGAACAACTAAATGTAAATCTATATATATAAAAGAAAGTCGTGTTAGTTACTTCGCTTATAACTCAAGAACGGCTGAACCGATTTAGCTGAAAATTGTCAGGGAGGTAGTTTAGAGCCAGGAGAAGGACATAGGATACTTTTTATCCCGTTCGAAATTAAAAAAAAGTCTGCTTATTTATTGCCATTAAGGCGGAACAAAGTTCGCCGGGTCAGCTAGTTAATTATAAAAAACATATTTCTTTGTGAACTATAATGACGAAAACATAACCGTAACTGCGATTCGTGGAAAATTACTCGATGAGAGCTTTTTACTCGGAGAATATATCAAAATATTAAAATTTCATTCAGCCGCATTCAATGCCGAAGTATGAATAAGTTTTAATCAAAATGTATCATTTTCACGTATTCACCGGTAGCATATCCTATTCGCTTACGTGTTCCAATTATTCAGTATTTCACGCTCATCGACGTCTATAATTACATTCTGATAGAATTGCGTTAAATTCACCGCGCGTACCATCACTAATTTCCATACAATTAATCCAATGATTAGCTGTAATCCAGTGTGGATTTTGCGCATATCAATCGTTCCCAAATACCAATGTGTGCCTATTGCGGATCAGTTTTTGTTACGTTTAATGAGAACGAGCCGGAATGCGCTGCACGGCGGAAAAATGAGGTGAGAACTTTAAACAATTAAAAGAAAGGTTTTATAAAGCGTTTTCAATTAAACTCGGAATCCCTAAGGCATGGCTGTGTGCGGGTTCCTTACGTCAAGAGAACGTGAGGGAATCTGGGGCGGCGTTGCCTCTAAACTGCAACAGTACTGGCAGCCGGTCGTTAAAGTGCAACAATTTCCTAAGCTCGGTTTAGTTTTAACTACGGAGACGCGTGAAGCAAATGATGGCGGGGCGGGGGCTAACGATGACTCACTAAGATGAAGTGAATTCCGCGCGACTTTGTTGTTGTGTTTAATCTATTTTCAGCTCGCAGCTTTTATTTTAAAGCATTTAAGTTAACTTCATAATGTGTGTATTTTTGTGTTACTTCTATATTATTTTATTCCTATTCCTAGCCATATTAAACAATATAAGTTATATGCTTTTNGTGCTTTCAAGCTAACATAGTTTCCACGCTGTGACATAACAGCGCTAGGAAAGTGCTGCTCCGAAAGTTATTCTGTCAATAAACTAGCGCTCGACGAATGAAAAACGATAGAGCAACGCGATAGTCGAATAGTTTTGTTGCATTTTGTATCCAGAAACAACAGAAAGCGCTGAGCTATGACGTCAGTTTCAGTGACAGCCAACAATTTAGTAGTCGATCAAATCACGGTAATACTATCATACAGTATTGTAACTTCATATAAACGGACGAAACGCGAACTTTCCTTCGAAATTCAAATCTCGGTATGCGCTCGACATGCAAAAGTCGGGGGTGTCGCGAATGTGCCACGGTAATAAACGGATGATGTGTTGTTTTTGAAACAGTAAGCTTTTTTATAAAAATAATTACAACTACCTATTTATACAGGCTGTTAGGTAAATAGGTTTATAAGCTAACACTAGCCCATGTTAACATATTATGCATATAAATGGTATGGTGAAGTCAGTGATATCATTTTAATTTGTTTAATTTTCATACAAAATAAAATTTATAAAATCAGATTTGTATGCAAATTAAAATTATTAAAATGATGATTTCAATTTTCTGACTTCACTAGTATACCATTTATATGCACATGTTGTTAACATGGGCTAGTGTTGGCTTATAAACCCATTTACCTAACACCCTGTATAATAATCAAGAATTTTGTATGCCTCAGTCGAGGCGCATACATTTTACGGTCGCAAATTTATAAGATTTATCACTAAATCTTAACACAAATATAATATTTAATTAAATCTACTAATCACAAAACAACATGCATTTTATCCTACTTCATTCAGTAAGTTATTTTGTTTGTCAAAATAAAAAAAAAATTACAAACACAAAATACATTCACAAAACTAGATAAAAATTCTAAGTAGGCAGATGTAATGAAAATAGGGTCTGCAGGTGGGCAACCCTATCGCATGTTGTCATATGGTGACGTACCGCGCGGCTGTTGACATTTATTTCAAAAATATGGCCGAGTTGGAATACTGTATAGATAGTATTACCGTGATCAAATCAACCAATTATGGAATTCAATTGGACGCATTACAACCCGGGATGTAGAATAAATATTTATAAATACTCCATTGCGGCGTGAATTCCTGATAGAAATTAATTGGAATTGTGCGCTCAGTTACAGTAACATCCGATAAACGCTGCTGGAATTTGATACGACCGCGGATTCCGCGCGGCCAATACCGGTGCAAATTATGCGAAGAAAATCGGCATCGGAGATTTAACATAAGCTGGGAACTAGCGGAGGATTTCGGTTGCAACTTTTGGGTAGGATTTGGGTGCATTAGTTTATTCGGCGGAGAAAATTAACAGCCTCAAAGAGCCGAGGTGGATATTAAGCCTTTCAGCAATCCGCCATTAGGAGCGTAGCTGAACATAGTTCGGANAAGTTCGGACACGGGAGCTGTCGAGCTCGCAGTAAGCCAGCCTAATTTCGCCCGTCTCAGAAAACGCAACGTGTAAAGGTTCTAATAGCTTTAATTACAACGTTAATGGAAAAATGCAACAGCAAATTTACACTAAGCAGTTTACAGACATCGCAAAAACGCTTCATTTAAACAATGCCATGTACCTGCATGTACTTATGCGGAACTTTCTTGTTTAGAAACTTATTAGTATAACGTAACTAATACGTTGTAAGGTGGGACAGTTACTAAGAAAGTCTTATTTGGTTCTCTTCATTACGGGATTACGATGACTATATTAAAATGTATATTAGAATTAAAGAAGAAAAGTGAAACTTAAAATGGATTATAAACGATAACAACTTTGATTTATTTTAAACCGAAACAGAAGAAAATAGTAAAAAATAGTTCTAGGAATTTTACTATTTTCTTGGGTATAAAATAACGATTATTTCAGACGGATGAGAATAAATCTCTGCATCAAAGCCGAAAAGATAATGATCAACGACTGAAAGAAAATTTATTAATATTGAAAGCATCATTATAACATTAATTTCAAAATATAGTTAGATCAAACACCCAGCTAGATGGAGCATAATCATGATAGACCCCGTGATACTAACTAATAGACCCTATAACGACGTTAATGAACCAGAAACTGCATCAACAGTTAATAAGAAACACAGTTTTCCCAACGCTCATTTATATTAAACGTTATTATCCATTTGAGCACTTAATTTTCACTAAGTCAGCTTAAAAGCAGGAAGCAACTTTGCATGCACATCCGCTTTTTGCAATTACTAATTTGCTTAATTAAAAATAAGGGTGATGGTTGAAAGGGAGCTTATTATTAAACAGCTATTACTAATTTATTGTGTAAGTTAAAAAATAATTGAGATAGATTTTTTCCTTATTTTTCCTAAAGTAGTCATGACTATGTCCATCCTGTGGCGTCGGCTTATCCTTGAATTTTGGGACACGTTGTATACATAGTTGGTCAGGGAATTTTGAAAAAATTGTCAGGGAAAGTCAGGGAAAAGTCAGGGAATTTTTTCGAACATTTGCAGTGGACACCCTGATTAACATTAATTTCAAAATATAGTTAGATCAAACACCCAGCTAGATGGAGCATAATCATGATAGACCCCGTGATACTAACTAATAGACCCTATAACGACGTTAATGAACCAGAAACTGCATCAACAGTTAATAAGAAACACAGTTTTCCCAACGCTCATTTATATTAAACGTTATTATCCATTTGAGCACTTAATTTTCACTAAGTCAGCTTAAAAGCAGGAAGCAACTTTGCATGCACATCCGCTTTTTGCAATTACTAATTTGCTTAATTAAAAATAAGGGTGATGGTTGAAAGGGGGATTTTATAGGTTGGCAAAATACTTGAAAGTTACTTTACTCACTCTTTGATCTAAACCAACAATGTACAAGACTTTTCCTCTTAAAAGACGTCATTTTCTGCGACATGAACATAAGGATTAACCTGTCTTGTTGCGTAAGAGCCATCGTCTCCGGCTGTCCTCCCAATACTTAACAAATATTTACTTACCTGCTACTATAGTAAGTAGGGCAAAAGTTGAGACGAGTGGCAACCCTCCAGTTTCCATGGAGACGGCCCGAGAGCGCCGCGTGGGTTCCGCCATCATCACACCAAACGGCATCTGATCCTCCGCCAACTCTCTCGCATATCCTTATTGTCGTAAAGTGTACAAATCAGTCTCCAAAATCAGCGTAAATATACTCTTTTTCAAATATTTTAAAAAACTTTATTGTCATATTTCAATCCATCGCCGCATCTGCAACAAAAAAGTGTAACGTGAGTGCAAATTGTTTATCAACGTCGATAAATCATCGTCGGTTAGCGAAAAAATTGTGTAGTTTTGTAGCACGGTTCAACATAAAACGCTACAACGCGATCGGTTAAAAATGAACGCTGCATCGCGTTACCAGAGTCACAGACATTTTGATATGGGAGCAAATTTAATTTTCACAATTTAATTTCGTGCGTATAGGCACAATGTTCGAGTGATTTACCCGCGCTGTTAAAACCTAACGATACGTGTCGGATACATTTTCGAAAACAATACTTTTAACCTCGACTTTTGGTAACTGTTTTACACGTCCCACAAAGTATAGTGTAAAAGTATTGTTTTAGCCCTGGCACTGACAAAAAGTTCTAAAAAGCACAAGAAACACAATCTCAATATTTATATCGATGCGAGATAGGCAAACAAAAATTGTCTTTTACATAAGATTCTATTTTTTAATAATAGCCCTTTACCAGAAAGGGGTCAGAAAACGTTCCTATATCGTGCCATCAAGGGTACGTAGGTCTCCCTTAAAATAAATTAAAAATTATCTCTGGCTGTAAAACGAACTATTTATAAGAAAGTAAGTGGACGAAACGGCCGAAGCGCAGTGCAGCCAGCCGGCTTGTACATACGGTAGTTTTTTATTGCACCCGTTTCCGCGCGGCGTGCGCAAACCGTGATAAAACAGGAATGATTGCCGCTCTGTCGCGATATTGTTTCAAGTGTTTTGTTCCATTCTGCCCGCTCTCGCCGTTTTTGTTCAGAGCCCGAACCGAGCGAGCGTTTCATACGGCGTAATCGAATACTAATCTGATTTACATATGATATCGAGCTGCATTCTGAACTCGAGACAGCTTTTCTAAAGGACGCGACTTTTTGAGAATCTCGGATTTCGTCGCTGACACAGCTCTATGCATTGAAATGACAGATCCTTTACGCGGTTCCTCAAGATTTAGTCTCCTTGTGGAAAAAAATTAAAAGCGTTCGCGCTCTTAATGTTCATAAGAGGGTTTGTTACTGAATTTAACTCCGAACAGTCTCGAAATTTACCACTATGTAGTACTAGTAAGTTATTCGATGACAATATTTTTCCTAGAAGCTGTAAAAATATTCTTGTTCCATGAAACGTCTTTATTGCTGAGTTGCATCACCTTTTTTAACCGTAACTATAACCATAACCTGTGTCCTTTGTATGGTGTTTGACAGACTCTTGACGGTTGTTAAATTTAAAAAGATGGTGCAACCCAGCTAAAAGTAGGTACGAGTAATTTTCACTCGATAAAACCGTATCGCGCTCGTAAAGGCACCACGTCAGTTTTACTGACCCGAAAATTGCCAAAATATACACTTTGCTGAGACATAGTTCGGGCGACGCGCGACATTATTCCCAGCGCTAGCGAGTCTCTCATAAAATAACTACCAACTATTCTAATTTACAAATGCCTATAACTTTGCGTCGTCCCGTGAATAGGTTATGTGCAAAAAATGTTTTTCGCAGAAAAATTTCCCCAATTTTGTGTAGGTTGTGGGTGTGAAGTAACTACAGTATGTACGACAATGTACGTGGTTGAATTATGAATAAAATATTCATTCACATCTTAGAAAAAATAATACTCTCTTTTGCCCCTTTAAGATTTGATAAGATGGAGCTAAGCTCACCGTTTAATTTTTACCACCACCACAACTTAAGATATTGTAAATAGATGATAATAAACCATACCGTCGCGGTATCTTAAGTCGATTGTATGTTGAACTACACCATTAAATGTCGATCTACGTTCTGTAGCACATCGCTCTTTCAGCTCGTTGATCCAATATTATGTCGCGCTAATATTCGTAGAGCCAGTGTGCTGTCCGTCGGTCACAACATCTAAATTATTAGTCTGATATGAAAATAGCTTTTCACAAGTGATAACTCTTGATCGAGGCCATCAATTCTATCAAATTACTCTTCATTTGGACGGAAATGAGAAATTGAATTATTAATTAACCGCGACCCCTCATCGCGATCTGTGATTTTGCACCAACTCTTAGCGCTTGGAGTCAGGTAGACAATAAGAGAGGATAAGTATCCGAGAACATAATAGTTGACTCGGGGGACCGTTCGGCTCTATCAATTGAAACATGGCTGGCGTCTTTGCCGTATGAACGAGCCGCACGACAATAAACAATACAAACAACCCTGGCCTGCGTTTGACACCAGCCCGTTCGGAGTGGATTAGAGCGCTCTACAGGGCGTTCGGCAGCATTTAGGGAGCGTAATAGCCTTCCGCCGTGACCTGTTTTAGTTGCGACAAATACAGATTTACGGGATTGCCGCCCCGGGATTTCGAAACGGAGTCTGCTCCCCGTAATAAAATTGAATGGTGTTTACTTTGCGGCTACTTTATTCCACTATCCAATTTTAAGAGCGCGCACTCACCACCCGCGTCGGCGATTAGACTGTCAATCGATCCCAATCGAACAATTTAATACCTCTTGAAATATGCACGAAAAATGTGTCAGCAAAAATTGCGCTTGACGCAGGCAGGGGTAATTTTTAGGGGCTTAAGTTCGCGTGCCAATTATAACGTTTGAAACAAACGTTATGTCGAAGTGATAAGCCGAAGGTAATTACGGGCAGAATCCATTGAACTCAATCATATCAGGCGTGGCTCAGAGCCGATTCGCCTCTAACCCCGGAATTGTGGAGCAAAACCCCATTTACGACATTCCGTTGCTTAATAATTTTACATCCGCTCACAAAGAGCGCGCTTGCTGTTATCTCAAGAGTGGCACGCCGACGATATGAGTCCCCACCAACCCCTTACTCCAGTTCCTATTGTCATATTTACATTGTCTATGCTTATTCCCGAATTCCGATTAACGCAAAGCCAGCATGCCGACGTCTACCGAGTTTGTCTTGTTGTGTTTACATGTTGTGCAAATAAATATTCAGCCTTCACTTTAACTTTATGACTGAAGGTTTCGTGTTTTGTTTGTGTTCCCTGGAGTTGCAAGTTTCGACGTGGATTCTAGTTTCAGAAGTTTCCTTTCGAACAGGTACCTACCTAGTTTTCAACGCTGTGAAAAGTAAATGCGAGATTAAATAGACGTGTTGATGAAAATGCGAAATTAACTGAGAAAATACTCGTTGATTTTTATTTTAATCTCACATAAAGTTTATTTATTTTTTGCTTCATTTTTACAGATTCATTCTTGTTGCTTTAACCTAACTCCTAAAACTTTTTATGCCACAGTGTTTAACTTGGTGAGCCGTCGTCCGTACAAATAGGCCTACTTATAAATTCTAATTTCAGAACTTTAACATTGATCTGACATGTTCTTGACAGCATTTTATCTCAACGTCTTTGTCACAAAAAGTCCAACAATTTATTTCACTGAGCATGTTCAACCTTTGCACTCCCCTGTTTCTTAATTCGCAATTAAAAAGTTAAATTGTTCGGTTAATTGCAGCCATTGTGGGTGGACGACGTCCCCCATTATTCACAACTGCTCTCTGAAAATTTGATGAAAAATTCGTAGTGAACCGGTAGAGGAATCACAATAAGTAATTAGCTTATCTGTCTGCGTCACGCGGGTGCCTGGGCCCCCTAGGCTTGGGACCCAGGGGCCACGGCCTCAGTGACAGGGGGCAGGGGGGCAGTTCACATCTTACGCTAATGCCCCAGTACTAATCTCGCTCTTCTTAATATACGGACTGAAGAAGTTTGCTTCAATAAATTACAGAAGTCGAAACGGCGGTTAACTTCTCGGGAGATATGCTTGACTTGCAATAGTTTGTAGTAACTTTCAGTTCGTTCGTACTCGCTTTGCATACACTTATTAATATCAGCGTCTTTCAGATACTAGTCGTATCTGTACGTATAAAAGTGATTACGGATTGAGAAAATAAATATTGCCAACCAAAAATTCGAAATCATAAAAACGAAGTTATTAAATATTTCGAAAATTTTACTTTGAGGCAGTTGAAAAAGTTTTCGATTAATTACATTCATTGTGGCCAAAACTTTGCTCGTTACCAACGATTCCCTTACATTCAAACTTAATTAAGTAGTAAATCCCTTAAGGAACTTTTAAAAAAGAACTATTGATCTGTCAAAGGCACGCTTTTAAAATGAAGCGCCGGAATAAAACGATTTAATGAGAAAATGCCTAAAGATTCTTCGGAAGCAAAGTATGAAAGTAACTCTCCTTCAGGGCAAAATATTTCATTGGGACACTCTCCCAGACAATAAAGACTCGGGAGATATATCGATTGTATAGCTACATTTGTATGCAATACGTAAATAACAATTCGTATGTCGAAAAGAATTGAAAAAGAAAAAGTAACAAAGTTAATATCTTGGGTTTTGGTACAGCGACAGTTCTGAGTAGCTCTCGTATTGACCGAGCGAAACGAATTACCAAATTTCATTTATTTGAAAGTCTAGTCCATCACTCGGGCAAGTGCTTTCCAAATATTGAACCGCCACTTGATCCGGGATGTGATCCAGCTTTGATAAAACCGGGTATCTGACAAACGTGAACGATTACTGTGAAATAAAAGAGGATACTTTTATTCACATATCTGTTTCGATGACCTGGGTGATAGATCTGTTATCCACTTTGTAAAACTAGTGGATTTTCATCAACGTTTTTGGAGACCCAATCCCACTTCCAATTTCCCAATTGATTTTCTATGACAGCTGGGATAACAAATCCTCTACAGTTTGGATAGTATTTTAAAATTTAAACTGTCTATGATTTTAATTCGTTTTCAATCCTGAAAATACAAAAAACACGCAGTGAAAAAACTCAGTTACAAAGGAAAAGAAAGATATATGATACAAACTATACTTTTTTCCTGCCTGAGAAACAAATAGAATCGTCTAGACTTCCTAAATAGCCCCTTTAGATAAGTGAGGAGGCCATTCGTCTTGGGAAAAAGTGTACGGTGTATAATCTAAGTTAGTATACTAATTTGTAAAGGCTTTAGACAGATC